CATTGTCTCCTCTGTTCAATTCCTCCATCAATTCACCTTCTTCGCCTCTTCACCACCACAGTGATTTCATTCTATTGCATTCAGAGAAACTGCCTTTTCCCTTATGCCATTAATGGTGGAAATTTAACCAGTTCGACAAGAAAAATTAAAACGCCAACACAAACTTTGGCCTTCTGTCTAAACCATAAAATGCATGAAACTTTTCATTTTTTTTCCTTTTAGTTAAGAATAAAGGAAAGAATTAACTGGATATAATTGCACAGAAAAATAAAAATCAGTCTTGAGTAAAGTAATGAATTCTATTATTACTTGGTTATACATGAGAAGCTAAAGAGATTAATCCACGTCACCCATACAGATGTCCACCGTTTGATCATACGGCGGAGTCCATGCATTCATAACCAATGAGAACAGCGGCTCAGATCTTGCCAAGCTTCTCAGCCTTGACGATAGGGTTGGCCTTGGCAATGGAGTCCCTCCCCAATTGCTTGTAATCAAACGTACAATCATGTTGTTCAGGATACCTATGGGATCCACAGAACATGACCCCACACCTGCACTTGAATCCCGTGAGACCCAAGCGCTTCCGGCAACCGGCGCACCTGTTAGGTTTAATCTGCTTCGGCGCCGCCACGGCCACGGAGGTGTCGGATTTTTCAGTTTCAGCCACCGCTTCGGCGGAAATCGGAACCTTTTCTAGTATCATGTGCGGATTAATTGTATAATTAACTGATTCTTGCCTTGAAGGAGTTGAAAATGAGGAGGATTCCGATTGATTGAGCGTTTTTTCCATGGCGATTTTGGCTTCTTTCGTTTCCCCTTCCTTGACGCAATAGTCTTTATAACACTTGGAACAAAGATTAAGAGTTGTAGGGCTGCCAAAAAAGCCACAACTATTTGCGCACGGCAGGTGTCCTCCGGCAGGCTCTTGCCATTTCTGTTCTTCCGCCATCTCAGATCCGATCAAATATCAAAACCCAAACAATATGAGCGATTGATATGAATTTCACAAGATATCAATCAACCGCTCAATTCCCACAAACAATATAAAATTGCATGCAAATGGAAACAGAAACTGAATCAGAAGGCGAGTTTGGTGGTGGGGAGAAGAAAGTGCTAAAATAAGGGTACAAATTGAGGGTTTGGAAATTGGTGACTTGATTTTGAGGAAATTTACAGGAAAGGTGTGTGAGGTTTCGTTTGATTTATACATACTAAACTTGGGAAAATAAATTGCATTATTCTATAGGGCTGTAGCTAGTAATGCTTTGAAGCTACGTTAAGGAGACGGCGGGTGGCTGCTTTTGGTTTTGGATTTCTTCAAGGTTGCCTTTTTCATGAAATCAATGTCTAGCGGTTAATTAATTAAGGAAATTGAATAATTATAGAGTAATGTTATTCATTTTCGATGTCTACATAGCTTTAATGATAGACTAAATGTAATGTGAAATTAAATGATTTATTTAATTTCACACATCATTTAATGTCACATTAGAACCACATAAATTGAGGTTACAACTTCACTGGGGATGAATATCATTACTTATAATTTTAAGTAGTTACACAAAGTTTTTCAGATAAATGAATGAGGTATCAAAAGAGATAAATAAATAACCCGGGACCTAAAAAACGTTTGATTGCGTTCAAATTTGTAATTGTGACTTACAATTTATGTCTTTGTGACTGTGACTTTATGTCATTTGTGATCGTGATCATAAATTGTCTGTTATTCTGATCTTGACATAATTAATTAATAAGTCTCATTAAAAACTTTAGATTTTATTTTAAAATGGCAACATTGTTAAAAGGGTTTTTAAAATGTCAATATTGTTAAAAGGGTACTAATCTAAATCCTTAGTCTACATTATGATATATAATCGATGTGAAATTTATTTAACAAAAAAACGAGCAGTCGCATTCCAAGGCTGATAATTTCAAATGAAGATTTAACTATCATTGTATTTAATAATTTTGAAAAAGTTGTCGTTCGATTGCCAACTCGTGTGAATGGTAGCAAACAGGGGCGAAGGCCCATGAAGTCCAGTGCAGGCAAATGCCCGCACTGAACTTTTGGGCCAATTTTTTTTTTATTGGGCCAAATTTTTTTTTTATTTAACCCACATCCCGCCCAAAACACCCAAGCCCAATACCTTCTTCTTCTATCAGTTCGAATTGGGGGAAATCGCCACTTCGCCCTCGCCCCTCGCCAGTTCGCCCTCGCCCTTCGACCTCGCGAGTTCCAACTTCCAATAGCTCATCTTCGTCGCCCCTGCCTTAGCCCGTTCCCTCTTCGCCCTTCGTTCATCCGCAGGGCGTTCCTGCTTCAAGCTTTGCTCCGCCCCTGTAATCGAGCCTCGAGGTTTGAGCTGCAGCAGAAGAAGAAGTGAAGAACTGAAGAAGAAGGATGCTGCTGGCCTGCTGCTGCCTGCTGGTAATAATTTTTTCCCTCCTCTGCCCCTGCTGCCTGCTGGTAATAATTGTTCGTTTTGTTGATGTTCAATTGCTTGACTTTGCTGTTCAATTAGGATTTCATTTTGTATAAATTATAATCCTCTGCCCTGCGGCCTGCCCCTGCTGGTAAATTGGTAATCGAGGTTTGGCTTGCATCTTGCTGGACGCTGGTTGCTCCCTCAGCCCTCGATCCCTCCTTTGGCCCTTTGCCTGTGTGAGGTGAGTGTGAGTTATTTGAATTTGTAACTAGAAATTGAAATCACGTATTGCACTGTGAATTGAGTATACTATTGCCCTGGGAAATGAAATTTGAATAAATGAATTGCTAATGCTATTAACTACGTGAATAGAATTGTCCTCTGAATTTTCCAGTAGTAATTGTCTAATTG